CAACCCGACACCGCAGCCTATTGCAGCCGGCATTGGACTATTTCAGTGGTAGTGTTTTGGTCATTATTTGATTAAATCGTTAAGAAACCGATTCAGACTGCATATTGGAAGATTGGTTGTGCGATAGAGGTACAAGTGACTTTTGAACCTGGTACCTTATTGCTCATTAAAAAGAAAATAATAATCAGAAAAATTTACTCAAGTTCTAAATGGAAGAAGGATTTCTAAACAGAAACGAAGGGTAAATGCTCTGCCCTCTCATCGCTATCAATCTCCCGTTTTCCCAATTAAATAATTCATTGTAATTGGTGCTTTATTGAGTTTGTGTGTAGTGTAGAACATTAACAGTGGTAGAAAGAAATGTATTTTTCATACTTTTGGGGTCTACTGATTAATATTTATTGTATTATTTCTTATGAAAATTATTCGCATAACATTAATTTAATAACAATACATTTAATTAAAATTAACAGGGTACTATTATTATTTATAACATATATGTTATTAAATACCACTGCCTCAACTGCTGAATTATTGTGAAATGTTTGGAAGAGCAGGGAGACTAATGCTCACTCCAGCATAAACAAAGTCACACTGACGATGTGTCAACCACTCCCTCGTATTTTTGTACAATTTCCTTCTTCAATTATATCGTATTTATTATTATTATTATTATTATTATTATTATTATTATTATTATTAGCAATAGCAGAAATGTTCGATTCTTTGCTGTGTTCAAGAGTAAACACATGATGTCACCATCTAATACCTTTCCTAATAGCCATTCCAATATGCAGTCATGAATGGGTTTACATTATTTATTCTGTAGTTTAATAGCAAATAATGAACAAACAAAACACTCACCACACTGAGTGGTGGGAGGGCTGGCTGCCAGTTGCTGGGTCGGAGGGAGGGTAGTACGGACTCGCAGTGGTGGAGGCATTGGTGGAGGCAGTGGTGGAGTCTGTGGTGTTTAATAACATACATGTTATTAACATACATGTTATTAACTAACATACGTTACTGAAGCACACCATGTACATATTTAGTACAATTTACGACGTTTTCATGTATTTTATGATTATTCATGGTTCAACAAGTTAAGGAAGCAGTATTGTAATATATTTCCCTACAATATATTGGGGCACCAAACATTCACGGTTTTTCAACATTCGCGAGGCTCTTGATCCCCTAACCCTCACGAATGTTGAGGGAGACCTGTATACAGCCTCTCCTCACTTAATAACGAAGTTCCATTCCTAAGACCTCGTCGGTAAATGAATTCATCGCTAAGTGAGGAGCATACTACAGTGGACCCTCGACCAGCGATATTAATCCGTTCCTGAGAGCTCATCGTTAATCGAAATTATCGTTAGTCAAGTTAATTTTCCCCATAAGAAATAATGGAAATCAAATTAATATGTTCCTGATACCCCAAAGTATTGAAAAAAAAAAAATTTTACCACATGAAATATTAATTTTAATACACACGAACTGAAGAAGACATGCACAGTTACATGACACTTACCTTTATTGAAGATCTGGTGATGATTGATGGGATGGGAGGAGGGGAGTGTGTTGATCTAATTAGTGTTTAGAAGGGGAATCCCCTTCCATTAGGACTTGAGGTGGCAAGTCTTTTTCCGGGGTTACTTCCCTTGTTCTTTTAATGCCACAAGGACCATTTCAGCACTGGACTTCTGTCAACAAATATCTGCCCCACAGAGGCCTGCACCTCCCATTCCCTTTATGACATTCTAAAGTTTTTCACAACATTGCATGTAAAGTTGCCAACACGGCTTGCGTAGCTGTGTCAGGGTGTTTTTTCACCCCAAAAAGGTTTCATTTTTAAGCCACTTTGCACAATTTCCTTAATCTTAGAATAGGAAATTTTTCAATTTTTCTATCCCCTCCTCCGAAGCAGTTTCCCCCAGGAGTGGGGCCCCATCTGATGAAGATGACTAGCACTCCCTGTGGGTTTTTCTTCATTGCCTCCTCCCCCAAACCCCCACATCCTCCCCCACTACCCCCAACCCCAAGGATTCCCCGGGCCCCAAAAGGGTTCCTCAACTGGGTAGGATTCCAAGAGTTAGCCTCAAACCCTTCAAAATCCCTTTTGTTACACATTCTGGCCCCATTTTTTCCAAGCAGGTTCAAGGTCCTCTTATCACTTCCTCCCAAGCCTTACTATAATGTTTACACAATTGAGGGGTGGTAAAGGATCCCAAAACTCTCTCAATCAGTTGATTTCTGAGGTCACTACAAAGACCTTTTAACATAGCTTTTTTTGACAGTTTTTTGAAGTTGGAAAAGACCTGCTGGTCCAGGCTGCGGGGAGGGTGGTATTAGTGGCAAAAAACTCCCCTTTAAAAAGTTCATGTCCCTGAACGCTCTGTCAAGTTGAAGGATGACCCCGGCATGTCTAATACCCCAGGCACTTAAGGGCTAATTTTTTTAATTAGGAAATTTTTCACATGGGGGAAATCATATGTAACCACATAGAAAAAGTCCCTAGTGACCCATCCTTACGTTTGCCCTCCCGCACCACAAATTAGCCTTTGAGGACATTGTTTTTCCTGAACACCGGAGTTTCAGAGTGATACCCCAATAAAGGCTTCACTTTGAAATCCCACTAACATTGGCAAACATCAACAAGTAAGCCTGTCTTTCATAGGTTATGTCCGGGGGTGCCTTTTCCTCCTGATAAGTGGGTCCTGCTTGGCATATTCTTCCAAAACAGGCTTTTTTGCCGCAATTAAACACTTGTTCAGGTTATCCTTCACTGTCATATACCCTTAAATTTCCCCGCCTTATTTTTCAGCCGCTTTGTGGTCCGAACTGGCAGCCTCACCATGCCTTATCACACTATGAATGCCACTACGATTCTTAAATCTCTCAAACCAACCTTTGCTGGCCTTAAATTCACTCACATCACTAGTTGCTGGCATTTTATTAATTAAATCGTCATGCAACTTCCTAGCCTTTTCACACATGATCGCTTGAGAGATGCTATCTCCTGCTACCTGTTTTTCGTTTATCCACACCAATAAGAGTCTCTCAACATCTATCACTTGCGATCTCAGTTTCGAAAACATAGTTGCACCTTTGGCAAGAACAGCTTCCTTGATTGCCGTTTTCTTGCCCACAATAGTAGTGATGGTTGATTGGGGTTTACTATACAACCTGACCAGCTCGGAGACACGCACTCCACTTTCATACTTAGCAATGATCTCTTTCTTCATCTCCATAGTAATTCTCAACCCTTTTTGCTGTAGGGTTGGCACTAGAAGCTTTCTTGGGGCCCATGGTGACTTATTTTGCAGGTGCAATCACTACAAAGGCTGTGATAATACGAAATGTTCCAATTGTATGTTTGGAAGCAACCGAGGTGGCTGGCTGGCTTGTAAACACTGGCACCCATGGGACAAGTGAGGCACGCTCAGGCCAAAGTGGATGTCTCGAATGGAACGAATAGCGTTGGTCAGGTTTTTTAGCGCTAGTCGAGGCAAAATTTTTGCGATAAAATGTATCACTAGTCGGATTTATCGTTAATCGATGCCATCGTTGGTCGAGGGTCCACTGTATGTGTATTATAGTATTGGGTTTGTGTCCATCACCTCTGATATTGTTTTAATGTTACCTTTGCACTATTTATAACATTTCTGTTATATTTTTAAATGTTGATACAGTAGTGTACTGTATATTGTAATAAACAGAATAGAAGAAATCAGCTCAAATGTACATTACAGTGGAACCTTGGCTTATAAGTTTAATCTGTTCCGTGACCTTGCTCGTATCTTGATCTGCTCGTATGCCGAGTCAATTTTCATTTAAATTAATTGAAATGCGATTAATCTGTTCCAGCAGAATTCCTGCTCTCAGGAAACAGGAATATGATGCTAATATCAACTCTATGGCTTATTTTTCTATCACAATTCATTGAATATGACATAATAAACAATATAAATAACACAGAAACCTGATATACATTATAGAATGAATAAAATATGTCATTATGTGACAAGTGGTGGCCGCCATTCCCTACCTCAAGTGGCCGCCTTGTTGTGGGTCAGCAGGGGAGACCTCCTGCCATCCGCCGACACTCCTGACACCACCATCCCAGCTTATGTGTTCAGTTCCACTTTTCTCCTACAAGCTAGCTGTGTTTGTGAATTGTGTTTTGATCTTTTAATTACCATATCTTGTATCTCCCAAGCAATCATGACACTCAGTAGGCATACCAGTGTTGCTGAATGACTTACTGACTTTTTTGCTGACTTTTCACTGACTTTTTCACTGAAGAGGACCCTGAAATGGTGTCTAGAGCAGCTAATGCCTTACTAGCAGTTGTATAATGTACTGCAGGGTAAAATAGAACAGAAATCCATTACAGAATTTATGCACACTCCAGTACAACCATCAACTTCAGTACCAGAACCTCTACCATCCACCTCAGCCCAGTAGGACCACAACATAACTCTGCACTCTCTTCACAGTACAATACAATTTTTATTTCTTTGCAAGTTTACATCAAGATTCTGTAGTTGCAATAATGAGTTGCAGTGCAAAGAGAGCCACTATCATGCCATGGCATTATGGGCAGACTAAATTAATGGCTTAAAGACTACTTAATAATAGAGAAACTGATCATAGTTTCTTTAAGTTGAGCATCTGTTTTTATTTAAAGGAAGCAGTAGGTTAACTCAAGTTACAATCTGAGGATATAACATTGGAACAATTTGAAGTTATTTTGTAGGTTATGTATATCAATAGTAAATATTTAAGTTATATTACTGGAATATAATATTGAGCATTGATTAAAGTAATTTACAGTATGAGAATGCTACAATATGGTGTACGGCAGTATAGTTTTGTGCAGGTATTTATGCTACAATGTAGTATTAAGTTATGTATGAACTTTGAGTATTTAAACTTTGAAGTGCTAAGATTTAGGTAATTGGGAGATTTTAATTTAAGTATTGAGTATTTAACCCTTTCAGGGTCCATGCCATAGTTCTACGCTTTAGGCTGAGGGTCCAAACCATAGATTTACGCAAAAACTCTAGCAGCGTCAAATTTAGCGCGAGAAGGCTGGTAGGGCTACATCTAAGAGAACAGGTCTGCGTGGTGTGTGTGCACCATAAACAAAAATTCTAGGCACCCGCATAGCATTGTGGGAACGCCGCCTCAGTAAGCTTTGTTCACCATACCTCGTGGCAAGGCAGCTCTCACTCCGAGGCGAATTGGGACTCTCCTTTTCCTAACTAATAGTTCTGACTCTGATGGAAGTGAAAGGAAAGAGGAATTCTATGGCTTTGATCAATCAGTGACCGAAAGCAATGACCAGGATATCGAAAATACAGTGGACCCTCTTTTTCGTAATTAATCCATTCCAGAGAGTGTGACTATTATCGAAATCGACGATCTGCAGATCCATTTTCACCATAAGAAATAATGTAAATCCAATTAGTTCGTTCCAGACACCCAGAAGTATCAACAACAATTTTTTTTACCTTAAATATAGATTTACATGCACAAAAGAATGAACATTCAACCTGACAGTTACCTTTATTGAAGGCTGTTGTTGAATGGAAGACAGGGAGGAAGAGAGAGGGAAGAGAGGTTATTGTTTGGAAGGGGAATCCCCCTCCATAAGGACTATAGGTCACTTCAGGGGCCACTTCCCTAGCTTAAATATAGATTTACATGCAGAAAAAAATGCCAAATAAATGTAAAGCACTATTAAAATGTATAAATGAACATTTAACATCACACTTACCTTTATTGAAGACTTTTGTTGGTGTATAGCAGACCGGGCAGAGGGAGGGGAGGCGAGTTTATTGTTGGAGAATATGACCCTAATATCAACTCTACATCTTATTTATCTATCACAATTCAACTAATATGACAATAATATTAATAACAAAGAAACATGGAATATACTCTAGAATGAATAAAATAAGTCATTATGAATGTCACAAGAGGTGTTGTGTTGTTGTTGGGTGTATAAAGGCCACTGAGAGCATAAGCCTTCCATAATGGTGGTGAAGCAGCAGCTGAGGCGGCAGTGTTTTCTGTAGCCCTATATAACTCCAACAACATTGGAGGAGATTGAGACACTTATGAAGCATATGGGAATCTTTATTCAGGAAACGTTTCGCCACACAGTGGCTTCATCAGTCCAATACAAAGAGGAAGGCGTAAGGAGAGGAGGAGTATGAGGTAATCAGTCCCTCAGCCTGAAGTCGATGTGTTCAGTCCATCAATCTTGTAGAATGTACAGCATAGGGCCGTAGACGTGGCTTATATACTGTAGTGACGTGAGGAGAAGCAGGCGGAGGCGGGGTCATAGTGGTACCATCCACTAGTCGAAGTAGGTCTTCGTCCAAAGGTTGAACAAGTGTTGAAGAATTCTTTGTAACAAGATCCCATGATGCTGCAGTGTCTGACAGTTGTGATGAATGGTTTGAAAAACCGACAAGTTGAAGATTGAGACACGTGTCGGTTTTTCAAACCATTCATCACAACTGTCAGACACTGCAGCATCATGGGATCTTGTTACAAAGAATTCTTCAACACTTGTTCAACCTTTGGACGAAGACCTACTTCAACTAGTGGATGGTACCACTATGACCCCGCCTCCGCCTGCTTCTCCTCACGTCACTACAGTATATAAGCCACGTCTACGGCCCTATGCTGTACATTCTACAAGACTGATGGACTGAACACATCGACTTCAGGCTGAGGGACTGATTACCTCATACTCCTCCTCTCCTTACGCCTTCCTCTTTGTATTGGACTGACGAAGCCACTGTGTGGCGAAACGTTTCCTGAATAAAGATTCCCATATGCTTCATAAGTGTCTCAATCTTCATCTTGTCGGTTTTTCAAACCATTCATCACAACTGTCAGACACTGCAGCATCATGGGATCTTGTTACAAAGAATTCAACACTTGTTCAACCTTAGGATGAAGACCTACTTCGATTAGTGGATGGTACCACTATGACCCCACCTCCTCCTGCTTTGCCTCGCCTCACTACAGTATAAAAGCCACGTCTACGGCCCTATGCTGTACATTCTACAAGATTGATGGACTGTACACATCGACTCCAGGCTGAGGGACTGATTACCTCAAACTCCTCCTCTCCTTACGCCTTTCTACTTTGTATCGGACTGATGAAGCCACTGTGTGGCAAAACGTTTCCTGAATAAAGATTCCCATATGCTTCATAAGTGTCTCAATCTTCAACTTGTCGGTTTTTCAAACCATTCATCACAACTGTCAGACACTGCAGCATCATGGGATCTTGTTACAAAGAATTCTTCAACACTTGTTCAACCTTAGGACGAAGACCTACTTCGACTAGTGGATGGTACCACTATGACCCCACCTCCTCCTGCTTCGCCTCGCCTCACTACAGTATATAAGCCACGTCTATGGCCCTATGCTGTACATTCTACAAGATTGATGGACTGAACACATCGACTCCAGGCTGAGGGACTGATTACCTCAAACTCCTCCTCTCCTTACGCCTTTCTACTTTGTATCGGACTGATGAAGCCACTGTGTGGCGAAACGTTTCCTGAATAAAGATTCCCATATGCTTCATAAGTGTCTCAATCTTCAACTTGTCGGTTTTTCAAACCATTCATCACAACATTGGAGGAGTTGGTAGGATCGCTGAATCACTGAAGAAGGCATCCTCTACCACCATCACTACCACCTTCTACCATTATCACAACTGCTACCAGCATCACTACCACCTTCTACCACCATCACTACTGCCGTCTACCACTATCACATCCACTACCACCCTTTACCACCATCACTACCACCCTCTACCACTATCACAACTGCTAGCACCCTCTACTACCATCACCACCACCCTCTACCACTATCACAACTGCTACCACTCTACCACCACCTTCGTATTTTTCTACAAACTTTTTCTTAAATTATACATGTTTCTCACATTGTTTACCAAAGAGCTGGCACTAGAAGCTTTCTTTGGAGCCATGGTGACTTACTTAGCAGTTGCAAGCACTAAAACGAATGGATTATGAAACGTATCGTATGAACTCACGGGATCATCGTCACTGATAAACAATGGCACACTGGCTGGGAATGGAGTGTGAGGTGGCTTGGGGTTGTGTGTACACGTCCCAGATGAACAACTATTTGCGAGTCAAACGACGATTCGAGAGTAAAATCCTGACGATCCTCAACCTTCTACCTCTGGTGTGGGCATGTCTCAGTCATGTTCAGTTGTACCTTGTCGCAAGAGAAAACTAATATTTTCTCGTGGCCAGGCCTCAGACTTCAGTAATGATGATGATAGTGATGTGGACTGATTTCATTGCTCTTGATGATCATTCGAGTAGAGATAGTGATGAATCACATTCACCAGTGAAGCGTCGGTATATACACCACCGCACGAGCTAGGGCAGTGTTCCCTATGCAGTGCCAAGGGGACGGAGTACATCCCGAGTGCATCCCGTGGCCCTACACCAGGAATAGACAGTGAAAATGAGGATGATGTGGCTACACTTGGCATGGATAGACCACAGGCATCAGTAGGTGGTAGTACTGGTGGTGATAGTAGTGGTGGTGGTAGTGCCACGGCCATGCACGACTCACCAGTCCAGGCTGGGACCCACGCCGCTGGCTCGTCAGATCAAGGACAAAGCGGAGCAACATTCACCACCACACCACAACTACAACCACAACCACAACCAACTTATGATGTCCAGTATCCACCAGCAAACAATATCTGGGATTGGCAGCAAAATTCCAATTTTGGTCCCAATCCTCATCAGTTTGACGACTCTCAAAGTGGAGTCCTACCAGCTTGTTCCCTTGGAAACACTGCCAATGAACTGGAATTCTTTGAACTATTCTTTGACCAGCCCTTGATGGAAATTATTGTCAGGGAAAGTAACAAGTTACTTGAGTACACAATGGCAAATACAATCATATCACCACAGTCAAGACTACACCGGTGGAAAGAGACAACTGTGGTTGAAATGTATTTGCTTTTTGCAACAATAATGCTTATGCTTCATGTCTGTAAGCATAATGTAAAATCATTCTGGTCCAAAGATCGGCTAATTTGTACCCCGGTCTTCAGTGAAATCATCCCAGTGAACAGGTTTATCTTACTGTTACGTATTTTGCACTTCTCTGACAAAACCAGACCTGACAGAAGTGACAGGTTATACAAAATCAGAAATGTTTTTATGTATCTGAAACAAAAGTTCAACATGTACCTTTATCCATTCAAGAATCTTGTAATTCACAAGCCTTTGATTTTGTTCAAAGGTAGACTGTCGTTCAAGCAGTATATACCGAGCAAGAGGAAACTCTTTGGTATAAAACTGTTTGTACTTTGTGACTGTGACAGTGGCCTGGTATTCAATATTATTGTATACAGAGGAAGTAAAACATTGAAAGATACCAGGAAGTTACTGGGTATCTCAGGTGACGTAGTGACCTGAGATACCTTATCTTGGTAAGGGGCATACATTATATACTGATAACTGGTACACAGGCCCTTTACTCAGTGATTTTTTGCAAGTGAACATGCCGGATGTGTGTGGCATAGTACATTCTAATCGTAAACATATGCCCAGGTTCAATGCAGGCACTCGTGCTGGCGAGGTGCAGGTGTTTACTACCAATGACATCATGGCATTATGGTGGCATGACAAGCGATATGTCACATTGTTGACAACCATTCACCCTAATGAAATGAAAGACAGTGGCAAAGTTGATAGAGTGACTAATGAACGTATTCAAAAACCAGTAAGAGTGATTGATTACACACAAAACATGCATTTGGTTGACAAATGTGACACCCATATTGGCTTTGTCGATTGTGTTCGCAAAAGTTACAAGTGGTACATGAAACTTTTCTTCCATCTTATGGACATTTCAATGTTAAATGCACATAATATGTACCAAATAAAGACCGGCAACAGACCACCATATGGTGAATTTTGTTAGTCTGTTGTC